AAAAAAAAAAAAAAAGTAGTCTAGGGAATGTTATCTTCAAAACCTTACATTACGAAGTGAGAAAGAAATTTATATGGTAGATAAGAATCCCCCCAAAACAGAACCTTGAGTGCACTTGTTGACATCGTACATGCAGAAACTGCGAACTGGAAATCCGTGATGACTAGACAACCATTCTGATGACTTTCCACGCTTCTCACCTATTCCTCTGTCTGTCCTCATTGCTTGGTTCTTCCTATGGACACACTATAAGCATCTTCATTAACGTGGGCCTTCTCTTCTCCATTGGCTACTATCCCATCCTTAATGGACTTGCATGCTTCCTTCATCATCTCTATGGAAATGACTGCCAATTCTTAATAAATCTCTCCTGCAAGTCCCAGATCCTCCTTTTCAATTGCCTGCATGTCACAGCTATTTGGCCAAAAATACCTCAGATTCATCATTTCCAAAACCATTTCCATTATTCCACCTATCTCGACCCCAGTCTGATTTTTTTCTTGATGTAACTTTTCTTGGTTTTACTGCCTTGCTCCCAGTCATTTGGATTTAGGAAATCTTAAAATGATTTTTGACATTTTCTTCTCCTCATCTATTTCAACTAATCAGTTGATGATTTCTTTAGTTTCTACCTTCATGACTTATCTTGCATTGAATGTATTCCTTTCACCCAGGCAAAGCTTCACTCGAAGTTTTCCTTTCATACTGCAAATGCATCTTAACTGAGCATGTGGTTTTCAGTGCCATGTCTCTTTGACCTGTGCTGCACAGATGTTCTGAACTAATACTCTTAAAACTTAAGTTACAATTATAGAACTCTTGTGCTCAACATCCTGCATCAACTTCCCACTATAAGTTGCCGTACAAGGCCCTCACTATACTGTCCCATCTTTTTCCACCAATATTTTCCCACATATGCCATACTCTGCCCAAACCTAAATGCTTATTCATTCTTCCAATTTTATATGCACATTCCTTCTTTTACGCCTTTGCTGATTCTACAAATCCCTGTTGTTCTGCCTTTTCATCTTTCTTTAGTGAAGTTACTGATTCAAGGATTCTGCTTAAATCAGTCTTTTCACCCCATATGACCTCTCTCTATGAAGCCCCACAGGACTTTATTTGCACCTCATAGGAAGTACCTATTATTCAGCCTTGTATTATTATTGTCTATATAATTTTCTCCTGTCCACCCCCCTTTCTAGATTGTAAATTCATTGAGAAAAAAAAGAATGCACAGTGTGGTGCTCTTCATCAAATAAGAACTTAATGAACATTTGTTAAATTGGGTTAGCCAAGCAAACCTTCGCCAAAAATGAAGGGAATTCATTAAAATAATTCCTAACAGACATGTTTTTCTCCCTCAGTGTTTCCTGTACAGATCAGGAGAAGAGACGGAGAACAATAAAAAGCCAAACCATTCCATCTGCTTGTCTCATATGAGCATGCACATAATGGGTAAATTAGCCTGTGGGAATTACAGAAGTATGTTTAAGCCACCAAGGAAAACATTACTATGTTACCACAGCTTTTTATCACATACTGGAGAGGTTCAAAATAGTTAAAGGGGGTTAAGAAGAGGTGGCTTTATCCCCAGAGTATGAATTATAAATAGAGGAATACTGGGTCAATGCTAGTAATGTGTTCTACCAGCAGAAAACTTCTAATTAAAATAACTTACCTTATAACTGAGATAACCAAGTAGTATTGTTTCAAAGAGACTTATCAATGCCACTGAAACCTAAAATATAAATTATACCTTAATGAGAAAATACAACAAAATCAAAATATATATTCTGATTACAATGCTTTTAACTTTATATATATGTGCATATATGTGTGTATATGCATATATACTTATATATGATATAGGAGGTGCTATGTGGCACTTTAATTTCTATATACAGGTGGTAGGCAGCAGGCTTTCCCAGGAACTACAGCTTAGTTTTTATAATTTCTAATACTCCTCAATAAGTCTTTTTTTAAGTTTATTACCACAAATGTAAATGTGGGATTAGAACAATCAGATGGCTGGAATCTTCACCATATGTAAAGAATAGGTTTTGTTTGTGTGTGTATTCTTAATACACACAATCACACACAACTGTCCCACCACAAATAATGCTCTCCCCCAGCCACACCACCACCATCTCAGTACACCCACCAAAAACGGCAGTTCCCTTCAGAAAATAAAAGAATACAAGCCTGGAGTTGAAGGATACTTTCCATCCTATCACCCACCTCAAACAAAATGAAACATTCTCAAACATTAAACAAAATAGTCCATGTCAGCTCTTCAAGATACTTTCAGATTTTATTTGAATGGACTTCACAGACAATTCCCCTTCAGCCACTGGACATGGGCATCCTGCAGCCCCCTAGACAAGCTTCCACTTTTCTCTCTATTCTCTACTCTGTATACAGTTTCCTCTGCTCAGCTACCAAAGAGCTATGAGTGCAACAGAAAAAGTAAGCAGTAAAGATATCCAAATTATTTTGTGTTACAGACCCTAAGCACTTCAGGAGACAGGAATATAATCAAAATAAGGAAGCATCAACATGAAATAACTGAGATAACAAATATATTTGTTCATAGATTTGTGAGGGTAAAGTCAATCTGCATGAGAAAGGCAGATACCATAGAGTTTTAGATTCTGACTCCTGTTGGAATGAAAACTTTGATTTAGGTGAATATTAAAATATAAGGACAATTTAAAAACATATGAATGCATGACAATCTAAGTAAAATAAGTCCAGAAGTACATACAGTAGACAGACATTAAAATAGAAATTTTTCACTTTTTCGATTTTCTCCACAAATTCTCTAAATCATAATCTCTTACTTTTTCTAGAGGTATACATTGTTAGATGATCTCAAGACCACTTTTAGCATGAATTGCCCAAAATCCTATGTGAAAATGAGTGTTTTTATTATTTTAGAATATCACTATCAGATAAAAAGCAATTTGAACAGATCAAAATATATTTCAAGGCCATATATAACTATTCATAAAAATATTGACTTACTTTACAAGTGTGTACAGCACTGAAATGAAAGTCAGTAAAAAAAACCATAAAACACAACTTGACTTCAATAAAATACAAAATATGCAGACACAGTAAAAACTTGATTCATAGTTATAATCACAATGCATACATAATTGAAATAATTCATTGTCACATATAAAATGTACAGACCTCACAATCATCCTGACTTTAAAAGACAACCCAAACATTTGATTTTAAAGTATTTTAAAGGTTGTTTATACACAGTGAGACTTAAGAGTCCTTCCATTTCTTTCAGACTCAACTGTTTTTAATCTTAGAGACTCTCCTCTTTGAATGATTTTTGCTTTTGAAAAACAATAGAAACTAAAAAGTATATGCAGGAAAGAGACACGAGTAGAGGAGATGGGAAGTTGTAAAAAGTTTGCCTGGCATGAAATTCAACAAAAAAAAGGAACAAAGAGAGATCCAGAGGACTCCAGGGAACACCGCAACAATGTAGTTCAGACACACCGTGCTCCACAGGTTCCCTTACTCCCTCTTCAGGACTCCTTTTATGCCAGGGCACACTTTTTGTTTTATTTACAAAATTATCTGCTTAGGGACCAAGCTCTTCCTATTGGTAATACAAACTGTTTGTTCATTTGTTTATTCATTTAACAATTATTTATTGGGATTCTACCATGTTCCCAACATTCACCACATAAAATAAAAAATGCAAACATGTTTACGGGCTTTTGATTAATTTTTCAAAGATGATATAGCCTAAGACTTTAGGAATGCCTAAAGTAGTTTGGAGAACTTGTTGTGCCTTCAAACAAGGTTGGGTTTACTTTAGTTTCCTTCAGATCCTGAAAAGCTTTCTGAAGTCTAAACCTGATCATGAGGAAATTCTCAAAAGGTACAATGGAGGGCTCACATAAACGTGAAGAAAGGAATAAAAATTTTAAGATGTGCATCAAGATTAATTAAACAATAAACCAAAACTCATTTTTAATGTCAAAACTTTTCTCCCCGCTAGTATTGCTCAGTAAAATATAAATAAATCCAGAAATATAGGAATATAACAAAATTGTACATAACCTGTAAGCCCCATAAAGGTAGACTTCTGTTCACCCAAAAGATATGAGACCTATGAAAAGAATAATAAGACATTAGTTTTTTTTTAATGAAAAATGCATTCATTTTCACATTTTGACCAAAGTTGGAAATATTTAAATGTTGTTAGCATAAAAAAACAATAAAATACCATAACTAAAATTAGAAAAAACATCTTACATTGCTTCAATTTTCTTTTTGGTAATACTCGTCTCTGTTCCAGGAAAAAAAACCCTTTTTAATTTTGTTTTCGGTCTCATGTTAATCATGTAAGAAAAGACAATGGGCCCTTATTTAAGGAGTGAGGATGGCAGGGTAGAAAAACTCAAACCACCTGCTAATCAACTCTCCATTGAAAAGCCACTTAAGAATCTTCCATAAACTCTAGGACTTTGTTGTTGTTGTTGTTGTTGTTGCTGTTCGCTGTATGCAGGCCTCTCACTGTTGCCTCTCCCGCCGCGGAGCACAGGCTCCGGACGCACAGGCTCAGCGGCCATGGCGCACGGGCCCAGCCGCTCCGCGGCATGTGGGATCATCCCGGACTGGGGCACGAACCCATGTGCCCTGCATCGGCAGGCGAACTCTCAACCACTAGCGCCACAAGCGAAGCCCTATTTTTAGCACACTATATTGGCAACACACATTCAACAGTCGAAATAATCAGAAGAAAGTCAGTGACTCAGATTGCAGAGCACATTTATATTCAGATTTGAATTTTTATAAAATATTTAATATATCACCCAAAAACCTGTGACTGAGGTTAGAATAAAACATTATGCAGGGGCTTCCCTGGTGGCGCAGTGGTTGAGAGTCCGCCTGCCGATGCAGGGGACCTGGGTTCTTGCCCCGGTCCGGGAAGATCCCACATGCCGCGGAGCGGCTGAGCCCGTGAGCCATGGCCGCTGAGCCTGCGCGTCCGGAGCCTGTGCTCCGCAACTGGAGAGGCCACAACAGTGAGAGGCCCGCGTACCGCAAAAAACGAAAAACAAAAAACAAAAACAAAAAAAAGAACCATTATGCAGGACAAGGAGTAATTGTCCTTAAATGGCTCTTAAAAATCCTATTATCTCTGACGTTAAAAATTGTTTATAGTCTGCAAAGAACACCATACATTCTAATGTCCTACTAGTTATAATTTCTCACTGTTTATACCTCACCCTTACCTACATCATTTGGTGTACAGTTGATTCAAATACTAGTCATCCACAACAATACACTCTACTTAGGAAAAGATGAAAATAGCTGTATTACGCTGCCCAAAATATGCAAATAAAAAACATACAAAGCAGAACAAAGCCTACTCACTAGAGTTAGGAAGTATTCGAGGAATCCCATAAAAGACTGTGTATTTTTAAATCTTTGAATCATCTTCTCTTTCATAATATGTTAAACAAAAATAAAGGGCAATAAACTCTTTAAAATTCTTGTTTTAAAGAGAATTGCAAACTTTAGAAAACTATTCAAAGAAATTACCGAGCATATTAGACTAAAGTACTCTTTGTGATTCTAGAATGTAACATCTACCTGGGTGATTAACATCTTCAGTTGCTCCAAAACAAACCTGTGACCTTTCTCACCAAAACAGGTCCTCTCAGGTTTTCGCATCTCAGTAAATGGAACCAAATTCCATTGTGTTTGGTTAGCCGAAGACTTAGGCATCGTCTTAGATGCTTTCCTCTCCTCTATTTGTAAATACTTAATACATGAGTCACCAAACCTTTTCAATTCTTCCCACGAAATATCTGGAGAATGTATCTACCTCTCTTCATCTTCACTACCACAGCCACATTAACCTAAATTAATCATTTTTTGCAACTGGACTCTTGCAAAAGCCTGCAACTGGAACCCTAAACCTCCTTTTGCCTTCTACAGTTTTTCTCCAAATTACAACTACAGAGATTCTTTCTAAATGCGTGTCATCACATCACTCCACTGTGTATTTTTTTAAAGCATTTCCTTTTTTAAAAAAATAGTTATGTATTTGTTTTTGGCTGCTTTGGGTCTTAGTTGCAGCATGTGGGATTGAACTCACATCCCCTGCATTGGAAGGCGGATTCTTAACCACTGGACCACCAGTGAAGTCCCTCCACTGTGTACTGACACTTCACTTTTGTCAAGATAAGGACCAAAACTCTTGACCTGGCATTCTGAGACTTTGTCAACTGTGACATGGTCCTTCCTATCACAGCCCTTTTCACATGTTCTTCCCTCATCCGAGAGCTCTCAGCTCAACCCTCTCTCAGGGAAACCTTCCTGAAGGCTTCCCCTTGATCAGTGTAGCCAATGAATATCCATGTGTAGCCATGTCACTCACCATACCTCCCCTGCCACTCATCTCGGTTGTAACCTTGTATTTGTTTGTAAATGTATTTCTTGAATAGTTGGCGCCTCACTAAACTGCAAGTTCCACAGGATGAAGTAATATGTCTATTTCACCCACCATGATGGTCCTAATGTCTTCCCAAGTACATGCCTATAGTAGGCTAGGCATTCAATACAAACAAATGGATGGTGCCAGTAAAAGCAAACTGTGAGTGATAAACTCAGCAACACTGTCATTTCCAGAAAACATCTCACATATGATCTCAGTAACATTTGAGAAATCAGGCCAAAATATGGTATGCAGGAGCAAAGAGGGATAATATATTTTTTTGCAGATAGAAATGGTGTGCTACAAAAACTATGAAATAAGGAGATAGAAATCTCTGTAAAATCATAAAATAAACTGCAAATAAGATGTTTGAGAACATTTTCAAAAAGAGATTGGTAATTAGCATAGATTTACTAAAAGCTAGTTATCAAACTAATGGCCTTTTCTTTGATCTGACGTTGTTTTAATAGGTCTTGAAAGATCAGATACTTAAATTTAAATAAGACTTGGAACAAAAGACTATTTTGGACAAGACTGTGCCATGTGGAATAAGTTTCATGATCCTTAAAAAAAGTTTCTACAAGACTGTAATATGTAAATTTTGATAAAAAGTGAGATCTCCAATGGAAAGTCATCTTTTACATCCATTTACCAGGCACTAAACTGAATAAATGCATAGAAGGAAAATGTACACATTCTAATAAAAAGCTACTGCCCAAACTCTCCTGCATAAAATAAATTTATCAAGAAAAAAGAATGTAGGATCTGATCTGCACAGTCCTAGAGAACCATCAAAACAAACAAGAGTTGAAACTGAAACTAGCAGACAGACTAATTCCAAACGAGGCTTCAATCCCATTGACAAAAAAGCACTTGGAGGAAAGAAATCCTGTACAGAAATATTTATTGCAATATTATTTATAGCAGGAAAGTAACTGGAATCTACCCGACCAACAAAAAGAGAATAGTAGTAAGTAGCCTCCTCATGATTAACAACAGCAAAAATACCAGCCCTGAGAAAAAACTCACTGATAAAAATGATGTAGATAGTATTCTCATAATTGTATCCGTGTGAGTGTGTTACACATATACGTGTATAGATAGAATTTACAAAAGATTGGTGGTCAAAATACTAAAAATACTTATTTCTAGGTACTGAGATTTTAGGTAACTTTTACTTCCTTTTCCTTGCCCTATGTATTTATATTGCAATAATCATGAACCATTTATAAAGTCATAAAAATAAATTTCACTTTTTAAAATTATAACAATAAAATAACAAAAGCAAACACAAAAATGAAATTTATATCACTCAGTTATTCTAAATTAAAGTAGGCCTATAGATAAAATCATGTTGAAGCATCATTATGAAAACTGGAAGAACCATATCAAACAATGGAAATAATGAAGTTAAATATGGAAAATTAATAATATGCAGCCCCAGCCACTCTTCACAGCACGCTTATTTATGGTGAATAAATACCTCTCCTAAAGGTAAGAAAAGAGCTGCTGAAAATGTCAGAACTGCTTTGGCCACAGAGGTGGAGGTCAGGCGGTGAATATGTTAACCGGAAGAATCAAGCACCTGGTAAACATGCGAAAGTAACAGGGTCACCACATGGGGCAGAATTCATATGAAAGACTTGTGGGTCACAGCTCAAGGTGAACTCGGGTTGCCAGAGCTCCAAACACAGAAGGCAAGCTAGTATTGTATTAACAAAAGTGTAAGATCCTAAACCAGGGAGGAAAATTATGACACTTGCCTAACCATAACAAACATTAAGCAATGAGTACTACCTGTGGTTCTAGGTCCACGTTTTTAAAGACAGACAAAATTTAGCATGTGACCAGGATACTGAAGCATAGGACAGTCCTGACAATATATTAGGAACATTTTCCAATAGCCAAATCCTTTCAAAACTCAGGTATACTTCACACTAACTGTCGGAGTGTGGACGAGAGAACTAAACGTTGAGCCTTTGAGAGAATGGAAGTTAAGGGCCTTTCCATCTGACACACACGGGCTGAGGCAGAAGTGGCTTTCCGTCTATCAACATTCGTTCTCCCCTTCCACGGTACAGAGCTGGGTGCAAAAAGCGACTCTTCATCTAAAGGCCACATTTCTCAGGCTTTGTGTCAAGATATGACATGTGACCGATTCTCAAATGAGATCTGAGTATGAAATACAAGTAAGAGTGACGCTCCTCATTTGTCGGCCAATAACTTTAACAACTGTATGTGCCTTCTCCATGCTCTCTTCATCTTTCTGAAAGCTGACTGCGAAGGATTCTAGGGTCTTAGGACAGCACATAGCCACAGAATGAAAGTGGCTTGCACATATAATATTGAACTTATCATGTTATAGTGTGTGTGTGTGTGTGTGTGTGTGTGTCGCCATATGGAGAAGTATACTGACTAACAGCACCAGAATTAGACTCTAGTAAACAAAGAAATTCTTTTGAATTTTTGAGTTTACATGTTACAATACTTGGAGATGCTTTAATCTATACTATAACCAATGTATATGAGAGAAGACAAGGTCTACATTATGATATTCTATCTTATTGGTCATCAGATATTTAAAAATACTGTGAAAATTGTATTCCTTCTTTGAATAGTTGTTACCCTAAAGAAGAAATACCCTTTAAAATTGAAATGTCATC